CTAAATCCAGCCTGCACATCTGGCAGTTCTCTGTTGACATATTGTTCCAAACATTTTTGGATAATTTTCAGCAGAATCTTGCTTGCATGTGATATCAGTGATATTGTTCGATAATTTCCACACTTTGTTGGGTCACCTTTCTTTATACATGTTTTATAGACAACATGTGTAGTACAATAATTATACATTTCCCAAATCACTCAATGACATCAAGTAAGTTCTGACTCATAGCAACCTTACGGTAGGTTTTCATGGCGATAAATTGCAATAAGAGGAGAATATCCATCTTTCTTCTGAGGAGTCACTGGTGGATTTGAACAACCAGAGATATGCAGCCTTCAGCTTAGCAATACAACTACACGCCCATATGTATGCATAATTATTGTTATTTATAATCTTGTTATATACATCAAAACTGAAGTTAGATGATATCATGGATTCAATTGTGTCCTAAAATGTGTTTGTGTAGCCAGGCCAGGACTCTCAGTAATTTGGACATAATAGTGTAAAGAAGTAATTGTGTAATGTTCTCTCATAATTAGTTTAATTAATCCATTGTAAATGAATTAAGAGTGGGCTTCAATCCCCCTAATTCTATCATAGCCCTGACTCAATGCAAAGGGAATTTCCCTGGGATGTGACCTTCAACACCATTTATCTTATAAGAGATAAAAGGAGAAGGAAGCTAGCAGATAGAAAAGGACTTCAGTATCCGGACCCAAATGCCTGAAGTGGGAACTTTTTTTGACACAGGAATGCCAGGACACATGGAGATCTCCAAGGAATGGCAAAATTTACTCAATGCTTGAGGTCCAACCGCCTGTATTTTTTTTTTATTAATTTTGATGAAATTTACAGAGACTTAGGGTTTCCATTCATCCATTATTGCACTTTTCTCCCTGACCACCGCCTCCCCCAATTCACTCTTCTCCTTGAAAAGTAAAAGAAAAACTCTGTATTTTAACAAGCTCTTTCAGTGACTACTGTATGTTAAAGTCTAAGAACCACTGATTTAAGGAGTATTGCTCTAATGACTTAATAAACTTAAAAAACAAAACAAAGCACAACAAACCAAACCACCTCTGGTTTTCAATCAACACTAATTATGCCAGAATCTCTGGTTATGTGATCATTCATCATGAGCTCTAGTGGCCTACTGGCAGGAAGCTGCACTGCAATCCCAAAGACACGCAGTTTGAGGCCACCAGCTGCTCTGAAGGAGAATGATAGGCAGTCTCCTCCCGTACAATTACTGCCACTGAAACCCTCCCAGAGGGTCAGCTATGGGTTTGTTTCAACAGTACACAACAACATCATAGATATTTTTTAAAAAGTTCACCAGACGATTAACTTCCTGCAGCAAGAGATGAAGACCACTATGCTAGAGAAGGAGTCCTTGGGTGGTGCGGGTGGTTAATAAGCTCAGGGGTAAATGATAAGGTTGGAGGTATATTTTTTTAACAAAGAAAATGTTTTATTTCCGTTTTATTCCAGTGTTGCACATTTTCTTCCTTCTCTCCTCCTCCTCTCCCAGAACTCTCCTTAATGCACCCCCTGCTTGTTCCAGATTGTTGTCATACATATAATGCCTAATCATATATTTTTTGACAGTTCTTCCCCTCATTTGATCATTATCTATCCATTCTTTTCTCATTTTCTACTCAATCCCCCCATGTCTGTCCTATTTTATAACAGCAGTGTTATGCACTATTTGTCCTTTTGTAACTGAGATATTTCATTCAGAATGATGTTCTCCAGCCTTTCCCATGTTGTGTTAATGTTTTACAAGTCCATTATTTTTCAGTGCTGCATACTACTCCATTGTATGAATATACTATGTAGTTTTTCTATACATTTATTTGTTGATGGTCACTTGGGTTGCTTCCATGTCTTTGCTATTGTGAATAACACAACAATAAACATGGGTGTGCAAGGGTTGGAGGTTTTAACCCACCCATATGTGATTTGGAAAAAAGTCCCAACACTATTTTCTAAAAACCAGCCATTGAAAATCCTGTGGCTTACAATTCTGCTCTGGCATATGTGGGATTGCTGTGATTTGAGATTGACATGGTCATAACTGATTACTGGTTAGCCTAGAGGGAGTCTCACTTACTTTTTGAGTCTTTGCCAACAAAAATTTCACAGAGATGAGGGTATCTGGGTCTGCTGAGCTGGTGGCTATCTTCCTCATTGTTTTCTTTTACCTGTAACTAAGATTCCAGGAGATTGAGTGAGAGTCAGTATGAGGGAAGCAAAGAGATACAAGACAACATGAGTACAAGTAAAAGACTAAGGGGATTGGAGAAATTTGGCCTTTACTTATGTGACAGGGATCTAAAGTAGTAAGAAAATGGGAGCAGAGGTGGGGCCTTCTATTCAAAGAGTGAGGACAGTGCAAATTGTATTGCAACTAATCACAGTTTCTCTCTGTGGAAAGGATTTAAGGGTTTTTACAGAAAACTCAGCACCTGATGACAGTGTCTACTAATCATTCAAGAATCTGGGCAAGAGGAGTTCTGAGTTTTAGAGGGATCACATGATGAAGAGTTGATGAAGCGAGGAAGCATGCATACCTGGATTCCGTATTTTGGCCTCTAGATCACTCTCTGCTTATATAAACAATATACACAACTTGTTGTAAAGTTGGAACCAAATCATGGCTGACCCTCTAGTTGTTTTTCAAAGATTATAAATCACACAGGAAGAGATTATTCAAATTTTTCCCTTGAAGCAGAAAGTAGATTATACTACCTGCCTTGTGGTTGACAATGTAAGATTCTACCACGAGGCCACCAGAGCTCTTTGCTGGTTATATGTTGTTGTAGTGTGTACTGTTGACTTGAAATAACACAAGCTGGCCATCCAGTGAGTTTTCATAGGGAGTAAATTGTACAGGAAGAGATTACCCACCCTTCTCTGAGGGAGCAGTGGGTAGATTCAATATATACTCCCCAGACAGTCTGAAGATCTTCAGGGACTTGCACTGATGTTAACTGATGTCGCTTCTCTTGAGGACAGATCTCTTCACTACTGTGTACATGTACACCTAAGCCTTTGTCAATGGCCAATGATGCAGTGGAGGGCAGTGGAGTTTGTGTATGCAGACTATGTGTCCATATATACATGCGCAAAGACATAATCGTGCAGGATAGGTGTAAGTGGGAAGAAAGAGGGGATGCCAGGCTGGAGACTGACTGTGCTCACATTACTTTGCTCTAGTCAGAGTTTGAATATTTGAAACATTATATTATACATACTTTTATAGATAACATTTATAGTATGATTTCTAAGAATCTCAGCTTCGAGGAACCTAAGTATTAAGAATCACAACTTCTAAGAACCTGGACGTTCTGGTCTTTATGTATAAGATATGCCAAGATGAGAGAGAATATAACTTATTTAAAAGTGCTTGGTTTCACAATGAGATACCATCTCACTCCAGTAGCAGTGACAAAGTTTAATAGGAAAGCAAGTAAATAAAGGTTGGAGAGGATGTGGTGAGATAGGAACTCTTTTACAGTGTTGGTGGGATTGTACAATGGTACAAACACTCTGGAAGGCAGTTTGGCACTTCTTAAAAAAGCTGAACAAAGAAATTTCATATGACCCATCTATTTCATTGCCTGGAATATACCCCAAGAAAATAAGAACTGAGGCTCAAATGGAAACTTGTACACCACTGTTAATAGCAGCATTATTCAAGAACATGGAAACAGCCCAGATGTCCAACCACAAACAAATGGATTGAGAAGTTGTGGTACATTCTCACAATGGAATACTGCACAACATGATTTCGTAAATTACTACCTAACTTGGGTGGGAGTTAAGAGTATTATGCTGAGTGAACTCAGTCCCACAAGGACACTTACTGTATTAAAACATTATTGTAACATAACTATGAGGATCCAAGAGGGGAAGAGGGAATCAGAGGAGTGAGGATGCGTATGGGTAGGGTAGGGTGTTAATCATAGGGTTGCATAATTTGATGGGTGGGTGGGTGAAGGAAACTGGAAGGATCTTTTGTGAAAAACAATGTATTCAAACTTTGTAAATAAATCAGTATAAAATGAAAATAAAAATTTAAAAAAAGTGCTTGGTGTAGGGTAAAATTTGCCTATGTTTGTACACTTATGAAGCCACCACTAGTGTCAAAGGTAGACACACTTTTACGTGAACCTTTAGTAAAGATCAGATTGGAATTTGAAATGTAACTTTGGAAATGTGGGCTGTATTGAGAATTAGAGTCCACGAATCATTCTCCCTTTAGATTATCTCATTCACAAAACATTCTCAATTTAATCCTAGAAATGGTCTGGCAAGAACAGAAGCCCTGAATTCTCTTTGCCCCGGGACTCTAGCCCTTTTTCTTCTGGGAAAGCATTCAGGCCTTTCTCTTCCTTCCTTTCTTTCCCTTATCTCCAAACTACTCACCTCCTTCAAGTCAAAAGAATCCTGCAATTTCTGGGATAGATATTGGTGAAAGTCTGGTGTATCTGGCCTCTGATGCCATTTCTGGTGATTGATGGACAGATCCAGTGACTTGACTTTCCTGACATCTTTGATCATGAGGTCCTTTTGAAACAGGCTCTTTCTTGCTCTGCTCTTCCTTTTCCAGAAAGTCATATCCTTGGCTGAATGGACTTCCTCACTGGTGGTCTGAAGACCGCAGAGCTCTCTCTTTACTTGTGTGGGATCTCTGTTCCACTGCAGATCTGTGTGGGGCAGACAATGTGTGTAACAGGGAGCCTCAAGGGTAAAATCCAGAGATTGTGCTTTTGTGAGCATTTTTGTAGTCCTGAAGGAGGTCACAGGTTCTTCCTGTGAGCTTGGTCTATGCTCAGGGTATTTCTGGAGTGCCAACTTCTCTCCTCTCACTCTGTCCATTACTTCCAACACCACTTGATCCAAGCTGTTCGCTTTGGAGGAGTTGTGAGGGGGTGTCAGCCGATCTCGTGGGCTTGTGTACAGGCACATCTTGGAGATGGCTTTCCGGAGACGCTCTCTGGGTGAGTGGGGTTCAGGCTCTGGGGATGTAATCCGAATGCATGGCACATCAGTTGGGTTGCAATTCCAAAACATATGAGATGGTGTGAACTTCTGGACAGGTGTCTTGGATACATAAGAGTAGAGACAGAAGAAGGCATCAGCAGTGACAGCCAGTGTTTGCACCTGCTTAAACCTGCCTGGATACAAGGTTTGAAGGTGGTCAGTCTGGGAACCATTAGCAAATTATTGCCTAAATTTCTCTATTTCACAGCTTCAAAATTCAGAGAGAAACTATCCATTTCCCCACTAATATCTGTCTCATATAGATTTCTGGCACTCAAAACTTCCTTTGTTCACTTTTTAATTATCTCAAACAAGTTTCTTTGTCTTGGTTTAGCATATCCTTTCTGCTATCATTATCTTCTAGATAATGATTGCTTTTGATGACAAATATGCAAATGGAACAAAATCAACATAATTTTCCTCATAGTGACAATGATTTAGAGCTAAGCTTCTAAATGACAACAAATTTTAGAGCAAGTAATATTGGGCAATGGATTAAGTTTAGATGTATCCTATTAGTTTTGTAGTTCCAAGGTATTGCAAACAGTCAACACTCTTGGCTTCTACCAGAAAGATTGGCAGTTTGAGTTTACCTAGAGGTACTGCAGAAGAAAATTCTGGTGATTTACTTCCAAAAATATCAGCCACTGAAAATCCTATGGAGCACATTTCTTCTCTGCCATACATAGGGTACCATGATTTAAAACTGAGTTGCCTGTAACTGGTAAGATGGTATATCATATCACTTCTATGAGACTCTTGCTTCTCAAAATGTGGTTCCTAGTCCAGCAACATTTGCTTGTTATATGGATGAAGGATCTCGGACTGCATTGATATCATTCTAACAATATCCCTTGGTGATTCATATGTACATAGATGCTCCAGAAACATTATAATAAACTATATACAAATCAAAACAAAACCCACACAAACTCATTGTTATCAAGTAGATTAATCAATACTTAACTCATATTAATCCTACAGGACAGAGTAGAACAGCTCATAAGGTTGCCAAGTCTATAAATCCTGCATGATTTTTAACCTCTTCCCATCCCAAATGCCAAGGGCCTTGATTTCCTGCCTTGTGCAGAAGATTGAGGAGGAAGATCTCTGCTCAAAGCTAGCTAGTGAGGATTCTCCAGGTCCTACATCCTCGCCAGTCTCCAAACTTTCCCCAGAATCAGTTGCTGTTCAGTCAGTTCCAACTCACGGCGACCCCATGTGTGTCATATTTAAACTATACTCCATGGGATTTTCAGAGGTTGACCTTTCTCCCAAGGACCTCAGGGTAGGCTTGTACTTCCAACCTTTCAATTTGCAACTAAGTGTGTCAACTGTGTGTAACAACAAAGGAGTCAATGTCTCCAACTCTTACTTTCTCTTGTTTACTACATTCAACTCTTCCCCTCTGCCTTCCAAGCCCTGTTTTCTTCTATCTTCAGTAAAAATTGCTAACTCTAGGTCTTGCTTCCTAGAAATAATCATCAAGAGGTCTTGTTTGCTCAGGCCTTCTCTCTGTTAGCAGAATCTAATCCGTTCATCTCTCAAATATGATTCCTGGGTTTGTTTGAATTTTTTTGTTGAATGTGCTCCCTTTTACAGACACTACATTAAAATCACTCCCTCTTAGCGCATTTGTTCTCAAGGTTAAATATGTTATGAAAGAGATTTATTTAAAAAATTACGTTCAGAAGCTTTACTCACTGGCTAGCATTAGGCAGGGATCCTCCATCTCAATCCTCTGTACCTGGGCCTTGAGGAAGAGCTGGAAGTCAATGCCTTTGGCTTTTGAGGGGTTGGTGAAAAATCGGGCTGGGATCCTAGAAGTGTCTTTGTGGTCCTCTTGACCAAAGCCCAGACTGAAGAGGACATCTTCTGCATCTTCTTGCACTTTGTCCAGAATCTCTGAGATGCTGAAAAAGAGTGAGTTTGGTCGATAGGAGACACTTTTGAGACACAGAATAACCCAGAATATCGAATAAAAGTGTAAGGAGACAGAATTCTTTTTAATAATTTCTCTATTCTATCCTTGAGGATAAGTTTTAACTTCTTAGAACCTAAACTCTCTTCTGAAATGATGAAGATTACATTTCTCTCCTGGTTATAAAAGAAAGAGTGAGATTCTAGTATATTAGCTTGGACAAGTTAATACAGATTAATGGCTACATGAAAGATATCAGAGAGGTTTAAAAAACAAAAGTAACATAAATGTAAAGGAATTTTGTGGTTGCTGTTTTTTATTGACCAGTCAGTTCTCCTTTGCATACTCTATATCTGGTTTTTGCCAGGTATTTTTGAACTTTTAATGGACTTTCTGCAGTGAGTGAGGGCCAACTAGTCAACAAGCGCATTCCACCCTCTTGCAGTCAAGTCTATTTCCTGGATGTTTTTCCTCGGGTTTCCAATGCTGCAAATTTTGATGAGAAGAGACTGTTCATCTTTCTCTCTTGGGGTGACCTTCGGTTGAACTGCTAACTTTTCAGTTAGTTGTTCAGCATGTAACTAACAATGCCACAGGGGCTCCTTAATAGGTATATAAAAATACAAAATTAATATTGTTTTTATCCTAAATGAATAATCAGTCAATATTGTTACTGCTATTTTTAGGTGCTGTCAAGTTAAGGATGACCCGTAGCAATCCTATGAACAACAGATCTGCACCCTGTCCTGTCCTGTGCCATCCTCATCATCTCTGACATATTTGAGCCCACTGTTGTAGTCACTAGGTCATAGCAGAAATGTCCAAAATCTGATTTTGAGAGACGGACCTCTTCCTAGCACACTTTTCAGGAAAGAATCTTGTGTTGCACTAAATCAGGCTTTCGCTTTCTTGCTATGATAGGACTGACTTGTGTTTATATCCTGATATGGACATGTTAAATCATGATGGATGCAAGAGGAACTGTTGTTTGATGCTTTGAATAATTACTGATCTGTCTTCCAGAAAGGTGCTGGGATTTTTTATTGAAATAGAGATCATCCTATTTAACTAATACCTGGACACTCAGGCCCTTTGACTCTTGTGCTTGCTTCAAAGTGTTGATTTTACCTCGATGGTCCTAAGTTACCTTCTCTGTGAATTATGTATATTGAACTGAATCAGGGCTTTTCAACAATGGCTGGACATTAGAACCACCTCAATGTAGAAGTGCGTTTGGAAAAAAAAAACACGCAAACAAACCAACAACCAAAAAACAACAAAACAAAAGCATGTTTTATTGTCATGTGCTGTCGAGTCACCTGTGACTCATAGTGACCCTATGTACAACAGTTCTGAAGTCTGCCCTATCCTGGACCAGTCTCACTGACTCTGACAGACCTATGCCCATTAGCCTCTTACTGTGAATCCATCTCATCTGGAGTCTACCTTTCCAACATTGTCCCTTCACCCTTCCAAGCATGATGTCCTTCTCCAAGGACTGGTTCCTCCTGGTTACATGCCCAAAGAATGTGAGACAGAGCTTCAAAATCCTTGCCTCTGTAGAACAACCTGATTTCAACCTCTCCAGGATAAACCTGTTTGTTTTCTTGGAAGTCCATGGTATATTCAAGATTCTTCTCCAGCACAAAAACTCAAAGGCATCAATTCTTTTTCTCTAATCCTTAGTCATTGTCCAGCTCTCTGATGCATAGCAAGTAATATCAAAGACCATGCACCTTAGTTTCCAGACTGACATTGTTGCTTGTCAGTACTCTGGAGAAGTCCTTGACAGTTTTTCCCAATGCAATTCATCTTTCAATTTCCAGATTGCTTCTGCCAAGAGTGTTGATTGTGGATATCTCCTCCCTCTAGCATGGTGCTGCCAATTTGCCCAGTGGTGAGAATCTTTATTTTCAGTCCATATTGAAGACTACAGTCCTTGACTTTATACAGCAAATGCTTCAAGTCCTTCTCAAGTCCTTCTCAATTTCAGCAAGGAAGTATGTGTCATCTACATATCCCAGGTTGTTGATGAATCTTCCTCTAATCCTGATGCCACATTCCTCCTCATGAACCCAGCCTCCAGAATCATCTGTTATGCATGTAGATTGAAAAGGTATGGAGACAGGACATGTCCCTGATGCACTTCTTTCCTGATTTTGAAGCATACAGTGTTTCCTTGCTCTGTTCTGAGAACTACTTCTTGGTCCAAGTATAGGTTTTGCATGAGTAAAATCAAGTGTTCTGGGATTCCCATTTTCCTCAAGATTAGCCACAATTTGTTGTGATCCACACAGTCACAGCATAGATGCCTTATTATCGCTCCAGAGGTTATATTTTAACAGACCTGAGGCCTACTAACTGAAGATACATCATATGACTGATCAATTTCAGAGTCAGGTTTCAAGTTCAAATTTTGACTCTAAATTCTGAATCGTTACTTCAGATTTATATCTATATATCTTGTTCACCCTATCAGATTATGAAACTCTTAGCTCCTTGTCTATTTCATCTTTTCAGATTCTATGCAGTCACTATATGGCCTGAATTGTTGTTTGCTGTTAGGTGCCATTGAGTCAACTATGAATTATAGTGACCCTGTGTACAATGGAGTGGTCCCTGGCTGCAGACTTTTCTAGTGCAATTATGTCTTCTTTTCTCCTGACTGCTGGTATCAAGTGTATTACATCCAAGTGAGATGCAGTCATCATCTCTGACATACTCAAGCCCACTGTTAAAGTTGTGGTAGTTGGTGTGTGTAGTCGAGTTGGAAGCAACTCATAGCTGACCCTCCAGTGGGTTTTCAGAGGCCATGAATCATTTGGTAGATTACCCATCCTTCTCCCGAGAGTTGTTGGTTGATTTGAACTGGGTGTCTTAGGATTGCAGGACAACTTCTTATCACTAGGCCACAAATAAATATTTTATTTCTTTACTGAATCAGCCAGTCTATTAATCATAGCTATGAATTCATTAACTGCTGTGATATTAATAGTAAGCCTCCTGGGCTTAAAAAAACTGCCTGCATTTTATACACAGCATGTGTCTCCAAGGCTTTCTGTGCATTTGCACTAAGCAAATATGAAGGAGCTCTAAGTATATATGAGGAAACCCTGTTGTCCTAGTGGGAAGGGAGTTGCCAGCTCAGAATCAGGTGGTTCAAATCCACCAGCTTCTGCGAAGGAGAAAAATGAGCATTCTCCTCCCATGTGATTTATGGATTCAGGAAACCTTCTGGACAGTCAGTTATTAGTCTGTTTCAGCTCGACAACATTGAGTTAGTGAGTGGAAACAAGTTTAGTCACATAGCATGTGTGATGGCATAAAAGGTTCCAATAAGATAGCCTTCCCAAAAAGCAGACAGTGGTTCTCGGTTACATTATCTTATGTATTTCACCTTCCCACCTGCTCACTCCAGCTAATCTTAGTACTTACCTTGAACTAGTTTTGTTGCTTCCACCAGTCATGCTGCTGGAGGCCAGACTGCAACCAAGATCAAGTAGCTGGTAGGGCCGGGCTGTCTCAAGGAAACTTCTGTAGGGATAAGAGCTGATAAACAAATCTTGTAGGTGGCCAGTATCTTCAGCATCTTGATGTCAAGATATCCACTGCTGGACATATTTGCCCTCTAGAGGATAACTTCTCCCCTGTTGAGAAAACTAAACCTCTGCCCTCATTTCTTTTTTAAGAAAATTTTTATTTTATTCTGGTTTACTTACAAATTGTTTTCACATTGCATCTTTCCCATTTTCTTTACCTACTCCTCCCTCTACCTATCAAATTGTGCGACTCTATGATTAACCCCCCCACCCCTGCCCACCTTACCTCTCTGCTGCCACCCTCCCCACCTTGGATCCCTATACGTGTTCTACAATAATGATCTTATACAGTATTTGTCCTTATGAGACTGAGTGAGTTCACTTAGCAAAGTCATTGCTCCTGTGTGCTGGTGTAGTATTCCATCATATGAATAAACCTTAATTTCTCAATCCATTTGCTTGTGATTGGACATTTGCGCTGTGTCCATGTTCTTGTGATTGTGAATAATGCTGCTATGAACATTAGTATACAAGTCTCTGTGCCTCAGTTCTCATTTTCTTGGGATATATTCCAAGCAGTGGAATAGCTGGGTCATATGGAATTTCTATGTTCAGCTTTCTTAGGAAATGCCAAACTGCCTTTCAGAGTGGTTATACTATTTACATTCCCATCAACAGTGCATACGAGTTCTTCTCTCTTTGCACCCTCTCCAACATTTATTACTTGCTGTCCTAGTAAACTTTACCACTGGTATCTCATTGTGGTTTCGATTTGCATCTCCCTTATTGTCAGTGATTTTGAGCATTTCTTCAGGTGTCTGTTGTCTGACCTCACTTCTGATTTGATAAATTGAATTTTTCATTTGGAAAGCATATTTGATCTTTATTTCTTATGTATTTGCCCCTGATATGAGCCCATCCAGCACTGGGTTGATCTAACACTTACCTAGAGAAGGGTTTGTCATTGGTGGCCAACAGAGTGGCTAGACAAGAAATAGAAATGAAATTAATAAATTAGAAAAATGGCTTCTGTCACTACCACAGACTACCTGTTGTCCAAGAAATTTTCTCTTTAGTGACTATCTTATAACCAAGTACAGCCTGATAAAGGGTCATGTGTGGCAGAGAACAGTTGACCCTTACCATCTACATTTCTGATCTATGTTTCTATGTTTTTATCTTAAATGAAGACAGATTTCCCTGGTTAGTGCTATATCCCTTCTCACCATATGACTCTCTACAAGTCCCAGGAGACTTCTCTGGCAGGTTTCTCTGACTTGTGTCTTCATTCAAGCCCTCTTTCTGCAGTGTAACATCATTCTTACACCGAGTGCTCTTAGAGCCTTGGCGTTTCTACATACAAATAATTTCAAAGATATCTGGACATCAAATGTTATGATGATTTTATTTTTTTCTTCCCAGAGGCTAAAGGAAAGCTCCTGTAATGGTTCATCAGGTGTCATGATAGACTTGTAGAGATGTGTTTCTGGAATATGATCTTGTGTTTTACATTAGATCATAATGAGAGTTCTATTCCCCTACATATAAGAACCCAGACATGGACTATTTCATTCAGAAGTTCTACCTTTGAATCTAATATTTAATTCATACAGAAGATACCATCCTTCCTGATCACAACCTCAAAATGCTGTGCCTCTTACCCTCTGCTCCAAGGGTTAAGTCATCTTCAAAGCTGGTCCCATGGCTGGGACACCCTGTGAAGTAATTATGTAAAGGTCACAGAAGAGCAGGCCAGAGCACACAGACATACGCATACACTCACATTCACTCGGCTTCATACTCAGACATTTATGCACATCTTTACCCTTACAGAACCACACAATCACATCGTATGTCTACATATTATAAATTACCCTGATTATAAAGACATTGTTGTGTGCTATGTTACCTTATGGGGGTCAGAGTAGAACGGCTTCATATGGCTTTCTAAGTTGTGATCTTTCTGGGAACAGATTATTATGTCGAGGTCCTTTTCCCTTTCAGAGATACTGATGCATGTAATTGTAGATCTTTTGGTTGACAGCTGATTACTTGGCCATTGCATGACCAGGCCCCATGACTATAATTATTTAACCTCAAAAATCATATTCATGTTTGGGTTTAGAAAGAATACATGCACACTCACCTGTAGCTAGTCTGCTCTATGTATTATATAGTTGTTAACACAATCCTTTGTCAAAGCACATGGGGCATGCACTCACAGACACACATAAATAACACATTTTATGAAATTCTGTTAAACACCAACAATTGGAAAGTGACTTAAGCAATAGTAAGCCTATAGCTGTGAGGAGACACTTAAACTTTCTTCTGCACTTCTTGGACCTCCTTGTGGCCACTGTGTGTTTTGCAGACAGCCTAAAAGATGTTCAGGCATTATTATGAACACACATACAAACACATAGCTAAACCCTTTTTCAAGAAGCAAAACAAGACTATACTCACCATTGCAGATCAACTGCCCTGGTTCCTCAGAAAACCCTTCTTCAGAGTACCTACGACCCAAAAGTAATCTTTAAATAACTTGCAGTATCATCTCACACATCCCAAATTGGAGTTAGGAGTATTTCATTTGCTTTTATCCTGGAGATAATGAAGACAGTGTTGTTTCTTGACTGGCATGACTTCACAGAGGTTGTCAGGAAGAGTTGTCAGAATCTAATCTTAGATTGTCCCAATTATATTGTCGAAAGCTGATTTTGCAGTGCTTCTGCAGTTTATAGGTAGAGTAGAGTAGGAAAGAGAAGTCACAATAGGGAAAAGCATTCATAGAAGCAGATATTCAGATGTGATAATTTTCACAACAAATGCACTATCAAGGTTTTCCCAAATGCCTCAGAGCTCACCTCTCTGCCCACATCTTCCTCCTCTTTCTCTGCACATCACGCTTTTTTCTGAATCTTAGGTCTTTCAGGAAATTGCAGAAAGTGTGTTCTAGTTAGAGATTACATTTTTAGACTTTTGAGATTATAGTCTTATCAAGAAAAGCTGTCATAGTGTAATCTATTGGAAGTTGACTACTAACCAAGAGGCAGTCCTTTCCTGGTGGTTTGAAACCACCAGCAGCTCCGAGGGAGAGAGCTGGGCAAGAAGTCTCCTGGGAACTAGCTGGAGAATCAGCTATTGGACAGGTCTGACTTAAGCCAATGGATTTGAATGTGAATTTTCATCTTATTAAACTTTACTAGCTCTACCAGAAAAGCAGCTGCATGTTAAGAATCTCTGCTTAAAATGCTGTATATGCTAAACATCTCATCTTTGAGTGAACGCCGGGAATAGAGAAACTGCTCAAACAGAGATGATTAGCAAAACTTGAGCTCACTGCACGGCAAGAGGAAAAGTAAGTCCATGTGTAAATGGGCTTGAACAGTCCAACTATACTCTTATATTATGTATTTATTAGAGATGATGCCAGTTAAATGACTAAGGCATTCTTGATCCAGGTCATAGTCTTTTCAGTTGCTTTCTATGCATCTGAAAATTGGACAATGAATAAGGATGATAGAAGAATAGATGCCTTTGAATTACAAAGTTGGTGACAAAAATTGAATATACCATGGACTGCCAAAAGGACAAACAAAATCTATCTTGGAGGAAGTGCAACAGGGGTGCTTCTTGTAGGCAAGGACAGTGAAACTTTGTCTCACGTGGTTTGGGCACGTTGTCACAGGAGGCACCAGTCATTGGAAGAAGGCATTTCTTGGAAAAACAGAAAGTCAGCAAAAGAGAGGAAGACTTTCAAGGTAATGTATTAATACAGCAATTAAAACAATGGGCTTGACCATGGGGGAGATTTTGAGGATGGTCCAAGATAAGGCAAAGTTTCAATATTTTGTTCATAAAGTCTGTATGAGTCATAGTTAACTCTATGACATCTACAACAACAAAAACAAAACTGGAAATTTTGGAATGTTTGGAAGAATATTTGAAATATTTTCTAATCCTTCAAGATGTGGATAAACTTGTTGACTTTAAGAAGTTTAAATATTGAAAAAATTTTAACACAGTTGTCATCAGATTTCAGACACATAAGCACTGCTATATTTACTCCTGTTTCATGTGAATGAAATAAAGAATGAAAGAAAAGATACTACTGAAGTCTAATATTACTCTAATTCTTTCTGAGAGATGGTATTTATCAAATACATCAAATGCATGTGACTTAAAACAGATAAATGGATAGATGAGTAGATAGATGAATGGATGGATAAAATAATTCTGTAATTTATTTGGTAAAATTAAAGTATATCTAGAGATCTTCCTTTGTAAACCTACCTTTCAGATACCAACACAGAACCTAAACGCTTGGATATTTGTCATTTCATGTAAACTTCATAAGAAACTTTTGGAAATTTATGAGAGCTTCCTGTGTGATTGACTGTCTCTGAAAACCCTCTAGAAGATCAGTTATCAGTTGGTTTAAACTCATGGGCACACAGCCATTTAACATTGTGGGATCTGAGGCAGAAAGATTTTTGTTATGGATAAAAGGTATTTAGCAATTAATAAAAAGTATTTAGCAATCAGGATCAACCCTGGGATCCTTTCTACTCACCAACTGCCTTTTAATCATAAGTTGGTCTGGGGTTTATCATCACAGAGCATGACTAAGTTTACAGTCTTCTATTTTTGTGAACATATTCTTCCTAACTAGAATGTAGTGTATTTGAAACCAACAAGCACATTTTAAACTAGTTGACACACCTCCTGATTATTTAGACAATCGGAAAATGTGCAATTAATAATTATTATTAGCTTGAAAGATTCTTGAGCAGGTGGTCCGGTACCTATCTTGGAAAAAATTGAATAACTTGGGAAAATTTTCATATACTAAATTCCACAAATATTCTTATTACTACTATCTCATTGATAAACCAAATGAGTTTTAAGAGTTCCCTGGGTTGTGCAAAACATTGAAACACTCAAAAATTGGCCAAATGATTGGTGAGTTAGAGACCAAAGAGACATGCCCTGAAAGACAGACGTGATAATATGCTTCTGAAAAAAAAAAATTATAATCAATTGGACAGTGACTAAAATAAAAAATTGCATTTAAAATCAATGACTTGTGAACCTTATTAAGACAATAAGAACAATATATTTTGCAAACAGCCAATAAAACTTCAACAACAAAATAAAACAGGAAAAAAGTACTTCCTGCAGGGGAGCACTCGTGGCCTAGTGGCAAGAGGTTGTACTGCAATCCTAGAGGCACACAGTTCAAATCCACCAGATGCTCTGCTGGAGAAGGAGGGGCAATCTCCTCCTGTACCAGTCAGATCCAATTTGACGGACACACACAAAAGAATCATCATTCTCATCATCGTCACAAAATAAAAAAATTGAAAAAATACTTCCTGGAGCAGGTATTTCAAGGTAAAGTGTGGTACCTCTTTTTTCATAAATACTATAGAATATTTGAACCCACATCCTGCCAGCTGGTATTAGTTTGTATTCACTCTACTTATATATGGAAAGTTTCAATGACCTATCTATGTTAATATAATCATTCATGTGATAATGAATTATCAGAATGTATAACTCTTTCCTGATCTTTATATCCTTCCAGAACTGTTGTAAGCCTTGTATGGCTTTAAATTGAATTTCAAATGCTTGACTAATTAATAAAAATATACTGACTTTGTTTATTTGATGTTGTTGTTGTTGTTGTTGTTGTTATGTGCCGTCAAGTCGCTTGCGACTCATAGCGACCCTATGTACAACAACCCTAAACTCCGCTCTATCCTGTGCCAATCGCACTGTCTCTGACACTCCCATCCCAATTATCCCAGTCACTGAATCAATCCACCTCATAGAGAGCCTTCCTCTCCTGCGCCGTCCCTCCACCCTCCCAAGCATGATGTCCCTCTCCAAGGACCGGTTTCTCCTCACAACATGTCCAAAGTATGTTAGACGGATAGTAAACAAATGTATTATTTCCTGTCTGTAGGGAACATAAGTACAACAACAACAACAATAACAACAGGGAACAGAGGCTAAAGAAGACCAGACCAAGATGGATGTCAGATGAGACTCTGAGTATTGCGTTAGAGTGCTGAAAAGCCAAATCTAAAGGAAGAAATCAAGAAATCAAAGAGCTGAACAGAAAATTTCAAAAGGCAGCTAGGGACGACAAAGCAAGCTACTATAATGAAATGTGCAGAGAGCTGGAGTCAGAAAATCAAAAGGGCCGGACTCAGTCAGCATTTCTTAAGCTGAAGGAGTTGAAAAACAAATTCAAGCCAAGGGTGACAATACTTAAAGATAGTTTGGGTAGAATGTTGAATGATCCAGGATGTATAAATAGAAGATGGAAGGAGTACACTGAGTCACTGTATCAGAAGGAATTGGCTGACACAGAGGAATTTCATGAAATAACATATGAGCAAGAACCTATGGTGATGAAGGAGGAAGTTCAAGTTGCTATGAAGGAATTGGCAGAAAACAAGGCCCCAGGAGTTGACTGCATACCAATTGATTTATTTCAACAAACAAACACTGCCCTGGGTGTACTCACTAAGTTGTGCCAGGAAACCTGGAGGACAGCCAGCTGGATATTTGTTCCCATTCCAAAGAAAGGTGACCCAACAGAGTGTGGAAATTATCGAACAATATAATTGATATCACATACAAGCAAGATTCTGCTGAAGATTATCCAAAAACATTTGGAGCAATATGTCAACAGAGAACTGCCAGATGTGCAGGCTGGACTTAGAAGAGGCCGTGGTACTAGGGATATTATAGCTAATGTAAGATGGATCTTGGCAGAAAGCAGAGAATACCAGAAGAATGTCTATCTGTGCTTCATTGACTATGCAAAGGCTTTTGACTGTGGATTCACAACAAGCTATGGCTGACTCTGAGAAGAATGAGAATCCCTGAACATTTTTGTGCTAATGTGAAACCTATATTTGGACCAAGAGGCAGTCGTCAGAACAGAAGAGGGAGACACTACATGGTTCAAAATCAAGAAGGGGGGTCCGTCAAGGATGTATTCTGTCTCCATACCTTTTCAATCTGTATGCAGAACAGATCATCCAAGATGCTGGGCTGTATGAGGAGGAATGTAGCATCAGGATTGGTGGAAGAATAGTCAACAACTTGCATTATGCAGATGCCACAACCCTGCTTGCTGAAACTGAGGAGGACCTGAAGCACTTGCTGCAGAAGGTCAAGGACTGCAGCCTCCTATATGGATTGAAGTTCAATATCAGGAAAACAAAGATTCTCACCACTGGGCCAATTGACAGCATCAGTATGAATGGTGAAAATATTGAGATAGTTAACAGTTTTAGTTTACTTGGCTCCACAGTCAACACTCTTGGTAACAGCAGTCAGGAGACAAATTGCATTGGTAAGGTCAGCTGTGAGTGACCTCTCAAGAGTACTGAAGTGCAATGATGTCACACTGGAGACTAAGGTGCACCTGATCCAGGCTGTAGTTTTTGCAATTACGTGCTATGCATAGGAGAGTTGGACAGTGAATAGGGATGACAGAAAGAGAATTGATGCCTTTGAGTTGTAGTGCTGAAGAAGAGTGTTGAATATACCATGGACTGCTAGGAAAACAAACAGGTTTGTCCTTGAGAGGGTGAAGCCAGAATGTTCCCTGGAGTCAAGGATTCTGAAGCTTCGTCTGACATACTTTGGGCATGTTGCAAGGAAAGACTGGTCCTTGGAGAGGGACATCATGTTTGGGAGAGTGGAGGGATGGCACAGGAGAGGAAGACCCTCAATGAGATGGATCGATTCTGTGAGTAGAGTGGTGGGAATGAATGTGTTTGTGACAGCGAAATTGGCACAGCATAGAACGACGTTTAGGGCTCTTGTACATAGGGTCACTATGAGTCGTAAACGACTCGATGGCACATAACAACAACAACAGGTAACAGTGTAAGGATCTGGAATTTAACCCACAGAGGTGGATTTCCAGCCATTCTTCGCTTTATCAGATCCATCCCATTTTCCCAGTGTTAGTCTTAATTCAGAAATATACTTGATAGATAAAGAACTCACATTCATTCCAAACCCATACAGTGCCCTACTCTCAATTTAGTTCTAATTTTCAGTCACAGTTCAAACTCTTTGAATGCCTATGAACACATCCACCTATCACATTCAATCCCTTTGTCTTTCAGATACTTACCCACAATCCTGCAGCCAGTCTTCTATTTTACTGGTGGGATTCCCTAGAAAAGCCAGATGTGAGATCACTCTAAGGGTCAAAAGAAACCAGATGTCCATTTTGTAATTCATCTTATTCTACAACTCTTCTCCACCCACTCTGCCCTCTAGTTTATTATAAAACTCACATCAAGAAACTTTTTATTTCTTACAATTTTAAGGTCTGAGAATAATAGACCTATGTAGAAAATAAGTACATTTTCTCTCTCTCTCTATTTATTTCCCATCTCTTTACTCCTAGAAAACATCCAGGGTATTAGGTCCACCACTCTTTTTTATTCACGGTCGGGGTGCATAAGTAAGTTCTTCTGGTTTAAAGACAAACACACCAAAAGCATAATCCATGTGTGTGTGAGAGTGAGATACTCTTATAAGTCTGTGATCTCATTTGAATCTAAACTCTGATATGGTAATAGTAATAAAAATAAGAAGAACATTAACAATAGGTTCTAGTACTTCAACTGAAAAATCATGACTTAGCTATATTGAGATGTAGCTTGTTAGTGACGGACCTTTATTGAGAGGATAGGCATTCAGATTGAGTGTAATTTTTTTTATGGATCTAGTTCTTTATTCTTTAGTTTGTCATGCTAATAGTGAACAATGTTTATCTTGCTAGTGTTAGCATAAATCTTTATGTAAATTCTTTTGTATTCTCCATCTTTGTTCTTCCTCTTCCAAATTGGTTTTTTAATTATACTAGTTTATTTACAAAATTTGAATACATTGTTTTCTAGAACAATTCTTTCAATTATTTTGATACAAATAGAAAATAGAAACTCTTTTAAACCATTTTCAGAACATCTCCTACCTCAGTTCTTAACAGATAATTTCTCAGGATGATGCAAAAAGTTAACTTTTTTCTTTTTTCTAACCATAATCTCTTTTCCACCTAATGTATATTTATATTATACATAGTATAAACTCACCATAAACTCATCTAAACCAATCAAAAGGAGTCTTGTTGTCAATCCACCCTCAATTAAGGACCCATAGCCCATATCTTTGCAGATCTATTGGTGGTCACTTTTCCTCCAGCACAAAACAACATAGTAGACCAACAGCTTTCTAACAGCCTCTTACCTTCCTGGAAAACATCATCCAAGGTGGAAGGCTCAGCTTCTGGGATGTCCTGCAGGACAGCTTCAGCCTCCTCTTCTAGGACCTGAGTCTGCCAGTGACGACTTTGGCGGAGCCAGGCCTGGCGCTTCTCCCAAGATGAGGGGCTCAGCACAGAGCCCTCCATGGCTCTGGCTCAGACTTCAGGGCTTTCCACCAAAACAGTGACCTCCTGAGAGTTAAGGCACAGTAACAGTACCATCACTTTCTGCGTTCAGAAACTACCAATGTGAGGGCATTCACCCCACCCCAATCTTCCACAGTCTCTGTGCAAAAGAACTTAAGTTAACTTCCCATTCTGGAGGAGGGAGGTGATAGCTATTCTGTCTTCCTTCTTCTAAATAAACAAACAAATAAAATAAAAAGAACGTTCTGAAAAACAAGGCAAAGTTTTGTAATTCTGGAGACTTCAAGCATGATTTAAGGGAGACTGACAAGCTCTTTTGAGTGTAAGAATGGAAGTTGAGTATTGAATTAGAAATTATTTGTTGAAAGTCTAAGGATTTTGCATCTCAGAATTTCCATTAGAATGAAAAATATTTTTAAATATACATTTTATAAATACACTGCCTTTCATCCTCAAAAGATTTAAGCAGTTTGTCTAAGATCTCACACCAGGATATTACTTTAAACCCATTATTTTAGTTATACTTTATTTTGTTTTGTTTCCCAATTTATATGTTAGCAATTTGCATAGTATTTCTCTCAGGGAGGAAAAAGACATTACTTAAATAGTAAGATGACACTGCCTTAAGCAATTCAATGCCAAGTTCTTCAGAATGTTCACTTTCCAACTTACCTGCTTGGGTTTACACATATCTTTGAGTTTGTACCCTTCTTTAGCAATACAATTGAGGGACTCCATTTTGTAACCAATATGTCATTTTAAAATGTATAAGCCTCTAGAGCAGTAAACTGAAAGCGGTGGGGGAAGGGGGAAAAGAGCCCCCACCCAAACATCAGCCAATCCTGTATTGCCCTGTTTTCGCGCCCTTCCTTTGAACCAGCCCTATTTTCAAGGGCTTTCCCCTTTAAATAGGCAGGACAGCCCAGAATCGGGGCGTGCCATTTTCCCTGCTCTATCAGCACGGTTTGAGGGAGGAGGCCCGGATTTGAATCTGAAATAAATTCCCTCTTGCCCTTGCATCGGTGTCGGGCTCCTTGGTGACTTGGGGGGAAACTGGATTTGGGGCACAACACAATTTCTGACCTTACTACCTATAACAAGGGACTCAGGTATATCAAGGATGGAGAGGATGACTCAAGACAGAGCAAGTTTCACATCCGTTGTTCATAGGGTCTCTAAGAGTCACAGCCAACTTGATGACACGTAACAATAACAACTGATATTTATTTTATAACTTTTGTCTTCCATCCAGGAAATCTGAGCATGATTCTCTGACAGTGCACCTCATCCATTTGTCACTCCTGTGCAATGACCTGCTGCTATGACACTTCATGGATTCAGCATGAATCTTCTGGTCTGATGTATTTTACAAAAAAAGGCCTGGAGATCTACTTCTAAAAACCAATCACTGAAAATTCTGATTCACAATGATTAGATGTGCAACCAGTTGTAGGAATGGCATAAGTCTGGACAGCATTTTCTTCTCTTGTGCCTGGTGTTATCTTGTGGCTGGGACCAACTCATCAGTAACTAATAACAATAATCAACAACAGTCTTTATTTCTTATTGTATTTACTGATGTGGCAGCTAGTCATCAGGAAATTATGGTAGCTAAAAAAAGCTACTAAAAGAAAAGAGAGGACACAAAGACCACTAAAGGGAGGTCTGTTCCTCACCAAGTCATTTTACTGTGTAGTTCAATCCTTCCCTTCCTTCCTCTTGTAATTACCTTTCCCTCATCCCTAGCTGTTAAATATGCAAAGCTATTGTCTTGGAGCAAAGCCATTAACTTAACTCTTGTAGTTCCTGTTCTCTTGAGCTATTGTAACAGACCTAGAAAGCAGGAACAGGCTCATTCTGCTTGTTTGAAACACTCCCTTACTCCTACCACATTAGTTTGGTTTATACAATAATAGACTATGTGGTTTCTGCCTTGCACTTGGAGAAATGAAAGCACTGTTAGTGATAGCTCACAGGTATCTGAGCCTCTGAAAAGAGAACTGTTGTTTTTGTTGTTGTTATGGGACCGCAAGTTGGAACCAACTCATCACAGATTCTCCAGTGGGTTTACAGAGGCAATACGTTGTATGGGAGGTTGTTCCATTTTCTCCCATGGAGAAGCTGGGGATTTGAAACACCTGCTTTTGAAATTGGCAGCACAATTTCTTACAACTTCAGTAGCACGAACATAAAATTTTCAACTCATTTCTGAACAGTTGGAATTGACTCATGGCTGATCCTCCAGTATATTTTCAGAGGCTATACATTACATAGGAGGAGATGGTTCATCTTTCTACCATGAAGCGGCTAGTGAACCTAAACTGCTTGCTTTTGGGGTTTCAGTGCAACTCCTTACTACTAGACCATCAGTTGAAAGGGAATTGAAATTCACACAGCTAGGAAAATAAGTGAAGTTTTCTTGTGGGGAATTCCTAGGACTTTCACTTCATGCTGCAAATTAAGTTGTAGTCTCTTCCCCTTACTCTCAGTGTATTTATGGGGTAATATAGTAATATATAGTTGTTTATTGTTGTTTGACATCTAATCAGACCCAACCCATAGTGGGCCCTCCAGAAGAATTTCAGAGACAGTAAATTACTTGGGAAGAAATGCTCAACCTTCTCCCATGGAGAAGCTGGTGGGTTCAAACTTTGGAATTGAAGTGTAGTTTCTTACCACTAGTCCACCTGATAGAACCATGGACTAACAGGTCATCTTTAACTTCCTTTTATAGGTCATACATTTTCTTTCTCTGGCACTACTGTGCACATAAGTAGTGCAGTTGGTTAATAGATTTTCATCTACAAGATCTCAACCTAAATGCCATTTATGAGAGCTTCCCTGAATCCCAGTCTAAATTAGATCCTCAATCATAACATATAAAAAAAACCACTCTTTGCCCTGAAGTCAGAACTAACACATAGCTGATCCTCTAATGAGTTTCCTGAGTATGTAAATTTCAATGCAAGAGATTTCAATGCTCATCTTTCTCCCCAGTAGCTGCTGGTAAATTTGACCTGCGTATTTTTGAGCTGGTAATGCAACTCCTTACCCGTTAGACCACAGCTCTTCTTATCTTCTGACAGAATCCTAAATTTTCCTTCAAACACTCATAACAATTTGTAATTGCCAGTGCAATGTCAAATTTAACTTCTTTCTCCCCACTAACATGCAAGTTCAATGAGAGTAGACCCTTGGTTGATGCTTTGGTCGTGCAATGCATGGTCAACAAATATTTTTAAAGAATTACTGTAATTCACCTTTAATGAGTGTCTATTATTCCCTGGCAACCTTAAATAAGAATGACAGAAAAAGAATTGACACCTCCGAGCTGTCGTGTTGGGATGAGCACTGAATATCCTATAGGCAGCCAAGAGAATGAACAGATGATAGTGCAGCCTGAGTGCTTTTTGGAAGTAAGAATGATGAGGCTTCACCTTACATACTTTGGACATGTTGCCATGATGTTGGGAAGGGTGGAAGGTCAGTGAAGGAGAGAAAGACTCTCCATGAGGTGGATTGATATGGTGACTACTGAAATGGGAGCTGATGTCCAAAAGGAGTAATAGAATATTGGATAGTTAAAAAATCAAGAAAGGAGTGGTCAGGGATGTATGTATCCTTTCTCCATACCTTTTCAATCTATAGGCTGAACAGATCATTCAGGAGGCTGGACTTTATGAAGAAGAATGTAGCATCAGGATTGTATAAAGACTCATCAACAACCTACGTTATTCAGATGACTCAACCTTCCTCCCCAAAACTGAGGAAGACTTGAAGTGTTTGTTGCAGAAGATTGAGGACTGCAGCCTTCAATATGGATTGCATCTCAACATCAAGAAAACAAAGATTCTCACCACGGGACCAATAGACCGTATCATGATAGATGGAGAAAAGATTAAGATTATTAATGATTTTCTCTTGCTTAGATCCACAATCAATACCAAGCAACCAGGAAATCACAAGATGAGTTTCGCGCATCTCAGGAGAATAGACGTAAGCATAGCTACCAGAAACCAGACCATTTATGGAATGATATAAAATATATCGCACATGAAGACAGCAAGAAGTCATTAAAAAGAAAAGGGAAAAGAAAAGAGCAGAATGTATGTCTGAAAAGACTCTAAAATTAGCTCTTGAATGTAGAGAACTCAAATGAAAGGAAGAAATTATAAAAGATGAACAAGATTTCAGATGGCAACTCAGAAAGACAAAGAATTAGAATGTGTGAAGACATGGAGTTAGAAAATATAGAAGGAAGACATTTTTAGCATTCCAACTTTAATCCACCAGCTACTCTGTGGGAGAAAGATGGGCAATCTCCTCCTGTGTGAGTCACTTTTTCTGAAAACCTGCAAGGAGGTCAGCCATGAGTCAATTCAGACTCAAGAGTTCATAAAAACAGTTACTAATTACTACTGATAAGTAGCAAATAAAAGTATAACGTTGAGTGATGAATCAATGGAGAATGGTAGTAGAAAGTTTGGTCTCCATGATTGGAATGAGGCTGGAGACTGAATGATTGACTTTTTTATGTTCAATGACTTATTATAAACATATATTTTAAAAAGCACAAAAGATGGCTTTACGTATGGACCTCACCTGACGAGCTGCACCAAAATCACATTGACTGCCTCTGTGGAAAGAATAACTGGTAAAGCTTAATGCAACCAGTCAAAAGCAGACCAGGTACTGACTGTAGAACAAAACATAAATTACTCATATGCAAGTTCAAGTTGAAGCTGAAGAAAATGGAAACAAGTCTACAGGAACCAAAATTCCACATTTAGACTATCTTTTGTGAATTTAAAAATCATCTTAAGAATAGGTTTGACACTCTGAACACCAATGATTTAAGGCTAGAGGAGTTATGAGATGATATTGAGGATTTCATCCATGAAGAGAGCAAAGAAAAGGTCATTACACAACAACAGGGGTAGGTGGGGGGAGGCAATGTCAGAAGAGACCATGATAATTCCATGAGCATTGAGAAGGTAAAACAAAGGAAAAGATACTGAAAAGAGCTGA